AACAACGATCTGTCATTTAGAGCTACGTCCACCGGCTGGCGAGAAGTGAGACAAATGCGATTCTCCGTTTGATCTCTAATGAAAAGGGATATAAATGTCAAAAAGGACCCTCGTTTATTTTAGGCCTTCAGTTCCTCCTCCGAAAACGCAGCGCACTGTATCCGTAAACAGGTAGGGCATACTTACTGCGGAATAGGTGTCCTAACTAGGCACAAAGGTACCCAATCACCCTTTAGATTTTTTTGTCTTTAACATTTTACATAAATTTGGGGTTCTAATTTTATTAATTCGACGGTTCTTCCTGTATGTGCCTATTAATTTAGCCAGCATTATCAACAAACGTGGAGCTTCTCGAGGGACATGTGTTGTAACGGAAGCCCAGGTCGAGATATAACTGCCAATAACGCCTTGTATGCGTCCCCAAAGGAAGAACAGGACAGGAAGTGTGCAACGGCAAAAGCCTTTTAGTGTATGAGGTACAACGTATTTAGGAAACAAACGCGTGTAAACCATGTCCCTTGAGCCAATCAGGTCCTCTCCTGAAATTGTCGCTGGTATTATTGGCTTTTGGCTCAGTGGATGACTGTAGTTTGAATTCTGAATTATCGATCGATTGACGGCTAGTGTACGTTTGCTCGCGTAGGCCGATCGATAGCCTGTTTGGAGTGCGGCTATGGCTTGCAACTTACTGCTTGCTAAGGCTGTTCGTCAGGCCGTCCTAACAACATGCATTTTGCGAGTTAAATGAGGTTGTCATTCCATAAACATCAGCCGAGAACCACCCAGCAACAATGTATTCATGCATCACGGATTGGGAGCAGCTTTTTGAAGTTAATCCCATGCTTCCAAAAGTGCAAAAACATAATAAATCAGATAAAGAAAGTAGGGAGTTGGGGAGGTAGTCGCTTCAACAGTCGTCCCAGTATTCATCTTCTAGCAAAAGGAGTGAGGAAGATGAGCAGGATTTAACAAGAGTGGGGCCAGACAAGGACGGATCGTTAGATGATTCGGGCTCAGTTTGAGCACTCCGGGAAAAATCTGAAGAACACTGGTCACTCGAGAAGGAAGGTAGCTCGAGATCAAACATAGGCCGCTTTTTGGCTGATGGTGGTAATGTTTTTGACTCTTTCTTTAATGTTTTGGCGCGCAGATCGGCCTCCCAATCATCTTCCACCAACCGGTAAATTGCCATTGTTGCCTGGGCGTCCTCGGTGGAACAGTGCTCGCCGGTTTGAATTTGCAAGCCTAAAAATGAGATGAGTCGGGAAGGTGTTATACGACGTCCCGATACTCCTGTAAGGAGTATACTGTTGTCAAAAAAGGTCAAGATTTGACTCCCATAAAAAAATTCAGCTGGCTTTCTAGTCGTATTCACCCAGTATTATCCGATCCCAGACGGTGCACCGCCGGAGGCTAGAACCAG